TACTGATTCTAAATTTATGTATGTATGTATATGAATTATGCATAGCCTCATGAATACAAGGCCAGACTGACAGAATTAAAAGAAATTTTAAATCTATCATCATAGTAGATTTTAACACATTTCTCAGTTATTAGTAGATGAAACAGACAAAAATCAGAAAGTAGAAAATGCGAACAGTAAAACTACGGAGCTTGAATTAATGGGCGTTTATGGCATCTGACATTTGGAAAAGACACACTTCTTTCAAGCACACATGGAACAGTTGCTGGGATTGACACACCCCAAACATAAGGCTCAACCAATACACTCCAAAGGATTGAAATCCGCCCGACCACTTTTCTTACTGCAATGCAATTAAGTTGGAAAACAAAGCATGTAACATAATTAGAAAAGTTCACTCGGAAATTTAATAACACAACAATATATGGGTCAAAGGAGAAATCATAATTGAAATTAAAAATTTCACCATCTAGTTTTTTACATCAAACACATGGGATACAATACTTGGAAGGAAACGTAGAGCATTAAGTGCTTGCCTTAAAAACAAAAATGAGAAGACTCAAAATGGAGCTAAGATCAAATTGAATCAAAGACCCACAGAAGTAGAAGGAAGGAAATTAAAAGGACAGAAATTAATGAAATAGAGAAACATACAAAAGAGATCAACAAGATAAAACACAAAAACTATGTATTTGAAAAGGCATGGTTCATTTAAAAAAAAAAAGGAATGAAAAAACATAACTGCAGATGCTACAGAGAAATACAAGAGGGAATAAGAACTGCTGTCAACACACTTTAGAACTTTAATATAGTGGATGACTTCCTAGAAAGACAGAACTTAGCAAAACCAACTCAAAGAGAAACACAAAATCAGAATCATCCTTTACCTGTAAAAGAAATACAACCAACAGTCAAAATTTTTCTCATAAAGAAACCAAGTCAAAATGGCTCAATCTGAATGCTACTAAATATTTAAGAAACAACATTTTCATTTTTACCATTCTTACACAGAGAAAAGAAAACAAAAACACTCTCAATTCATTTTATGAGGCCAATATAACTTTGATACCCAAACTGCAAGAACACAACCAGAAAGAGAACTACAGGCCAATTCAATCTCCCTTTATGAACATGCATGCAAAAATTCTGAACAAATATTACCAAACCACATCCAGCAATGAAGAATAGAAGATGATACATCATGATCAAGTTGGGTTTATTCCAGCAAGTTGACTACTATTAGAATTGTTATTAATAAAATTCACCTTAGTAACAGATTTAAAAGTAACTTAATAAAGAAAAAAACAGAATTAAACATCCATATAATGTATGACATTAAAAAGTCTTAGCGTATTTTTAGAAGGAAATTTTTTTAACTTGAAAAAGGACATCTACCAAAAAAAAAAAATCTAGCAAGTATAGTTAAGGAGGAACATAGAAAGCAGTCCCTTTAAGATAAGGAATGAAGCAAAGATGTCCTCCATCACCTCCTTTACTCCTCTTTAAGATTGCATTGGGATTTGAGCCAACTCAGCAGCTCAGTATAGTCAAGAAAAAGAAACAAAATGTTAAGGGTGGGAATGTAAAATGCTCTGCTGCTGTAGAAAACAGCATGGAGGGTTCCTCAATTTTTATTTTATTTTATTTTATTTATTTATTTATTTATTTTATTTATTTATTTATTTATTTATTTATTTTATTTTATTTTATTTTTTGAGATGGATTCTCGCTCTGTTGCCCAGGCTGGAGTGCAATGGCGCAATCTCGGCTCACTGCAACCTCTGCCTCCTGGGTTCAAGCGATTCTCCTGCCTCAGTCTCCCTAGTAGCTGGGATTACAGGCGCCTGCCACCATGCCCAGCTAATTTTTGTATTTTAGTCCACTTCAGGCTCCCAAATTGCTAGGATTACAGGCGTGAGCCACTGTGCCTGGCCTGGTTCCTCAAAAAAGTAAACAGAGAATGAATATGTGATCCAGCAATTCCAAAGAGAATTGAAAGCAGGGACACTTTAAAAAGATACTTGCACACCCGCATTCATAGCAGCATTATTCACAACAGCCAAGAGACAGAAGCAGCCCAAGTATCTATTGATGGTTGAATGGATAAGCAAAAGTGGTCTATCCGTACAATGGAATATTATTCTGCCTTAAAAAGGAAGGAAATTCTGACACACGCTGCAACATGGATGAAACTTGAGGTCATTACGCTAAGTGAAATAAGTCAGACACAAAAAGACAAATACGTATTACACTACTTATATGAAGTCCCTAGAGTGGACATTCAGAGACAGAAAGTAGAATGGGGGTTGCCAGGGTGTTGGGGGTAGGAATGGGGAGTTAGTGTTTAAAGGATACAGTATCAGTTTGGAAAAATGAAAAAGTTCCAGAGATGAATGGGTGGTGGTGATGGTTGCACAACAATGTAAATATACTTAACCACTGAATTGTACACCCGAAAATGCTTAAAAGGGTAACTTTTATGTGTATTTTACTACAGTTTTAATTTGTATGGCTCCCCAAGGAAGAAAAGAATGGGCTTTATGATTGTCCGTAAACACCGCTGCTCTGAATCCAGTGCCTCCTACTGGGCCCAGGGTTATTGATTACATCGGGTTTCTGAATGGGGGTGTGTTTCAGAGGCTATCTGCAAAATTGCATGTAGTTTTTCTGAGGAAAAGAGGAAACAGCTTTCATCAGACTGTCAGAGGAGTCTGTGATACACAAAAGTCTAAGACTCATTCTGAGTTGCCCACCTCATGCTGTTAATCTCCTCCCCCACCTCACCCCCTGCAGTTCTGCATAGGCTGGAACCAGACTCCATCCTATCAGCAAAGGCTCAGGTTCTGCACTCACTTCCCCGTCTTCTTATCCTCCCTCTCCTCACGCAAATACTACCTTTTCTTTCATTCACTCAGGTTGTTTACAATGCAAAGCATATTCTTAAATATGTCTTAAATTCATGGAACAAAGTTTTATTTTTTAGATAACTGTAGCTCTGAAATCAACCAATTTTCAGGTTTTTTTCTATTGCCCTTCATTTCCTGGATGGTAATATTAAACAGGTCCAGCTCTAGCTCCGAACCAGAAAGGTTCTCTGTCAAATGGTTGGATCTGTAACCACAGATCATTTTCTTTTTTTTATTTTTTTTTATTATTATACTTTGAGTTCTAGGGTACATGTGCATAACGTGCAGGTTTGTTACATATGTATACTTGTGCCATGTTGGTGTGCTGCAGCCATCAACTCGTCAGCACCCATCAACTCGTCATTTACATCAGGTATAACTCCCAATGCCATCCCTCCCCCGTCCCCCCTCCCCATGATAGGCCCCGGTGTGTGATGTTCCCCTTCCCGAGTCCAAGTGATCTCATTGTTCAGTTCCCACCTATGAGTGAGAACATGCGGCGTTTGGTTTTCTGTTCTTGTGATAGTTTGCTAAGAATGATGGTTTCCAGCTGCATCCACTTAGGATTGTCTTGGAGATGCGGGGTCTTTTTTGGTTCCATATGAACTTTAAAGCAGTTTTTTTCAATTCTGTGAAGAAACTCATTGGTAGCTTGATGGGGATGGCATTGAATCTATAAATAACCTTGGGCAGTATGGCCATTTTCATGATATTGATTCTTCCTATCCATGAGCATGGTATGTTCTTCCATTTGTTTGTGTCCTCTTTTATTTCACTGAGCAGTGGTTTGTAGTTCTCCTTGAAGAGGTCCTTTATATCCCTTGTAAGTTGGATTCCTAGGTATTTTATTCTCTTTGAAGCAATTGTGAATGGAAATTCATTCATGATTTGGCTCTCTGTCTGTCACTGGTGTATAAGAATGCTTGTGATTTTTGCACATTAATTTTGTATCCTGAGACTTTGCTGAAGTTGCTTATCAGCTTAAGGAGATTTTGGGCTGAGACAATGGGGTTTTCTAAATATACAATCATGTCATCTGCAAAGAGGGACAATTTGAGTTCTTCTTTTCCTAACTGAATACCCTTGATTTCTTTCTCTTGCCTGATTGCCCTAGCCAGAACTTCCAACACTATGTTGAATAGGAGTGGTGAGAGAGGGCATCCCTGTCTTGTGCCAGTTTTCAAAGGGAATTTTTCCAGTTTTTGCCCATTCAGTATGATATTGGCTGTGGGTTTGTCATAAATAGCTCTTATTATTTTGAGGTACATTCCATCAATACCCATCTCCAAGACAATCCTAAGTCAAAAGAACAAAGCTGGAGGCATCACGCTACCTGACTTCAAACTATACTACAAGGCTACAGTAACCAAAACAGCATGGTACTGGTACCAAAACAGAGATATAGACCAATGGAACAGAACAGAGTCCTCAGAAATAATACCACACATCTACAGCCATCTGATCTTTGACAAACCTGAGAGAAACAAGAAATGGGGAAAGGATTCCCTATTTAATAAATGGTGCTGGGAAAATTGGCTAGCCATAAGTAGAAAGCTGAAACTGAATCCTTTCCTTACTCCTTATATGAAAATTAATTCAAGATGGATTAGAGACTTAAATGTTAGACCTAATACCATAAAAATCCTAGAGGAAAACCTAGGTAGTACCATTCAGGACATAGGCATGGGCAAAGACTTCATGTCTAAAACACCAAAAGCAACGGCAGCAAAAGCCAAAATTGACAAATGGGATCTCATTAAACTAAAGAGCTTCTGCACAGCAAAAGAAACTACCATCAGAGTGAACAGGCAACCTACAGAATGGGAGAAAATTTTTGCAATCTACTCATCTGACAAAGGGCTAATAACCACAGATAATTTTCAACTAGCTTTTCTTGCTAATCGTATGTCTTGCATTTCATGTAGACTGCGTTTTAACAAACTGAAGACCTCTTGCTCAGTCCCGTGGTCTGCCTGGGTGGCGGTGAGGAATCTCAGGGTGATAACGGAGAGGTGCCTCTCAGATGCAACTTCAAAATATCAAGGGAACGAGAAATGTCACCAGCTTAATTTGCACCCAAATGACTTCTGAGACTTTTCTTTTTAACAAAATGCTTTATTTCTATTTTTAAATGAGATGCATTGTTAGGCATTCCCATGAAATATCAAAAGGCATTTACATGTGTTGTTTTAACTCTTCTTTTTTGATCACACAAAGTAGAACAAATCAGAAACCAAGTAGTGTAAGGCATTAGGAGATACATGAAGAGAACCGCTATTTGCTTCTTGTACAGCGTGTGGCAAGTCATGGTTAGTAGTCGTCGTAGTTGACGCTGGCTCCGTGCCTAAAGCTGTAGGGGCTCCGGGCACCAACTGCAGAGTCTTCATCATAGTGACGTTGGTAGTAATCACCATAGTACTCGTGTCCATTTCTATCTCTGTTAAGCCAATAGGTGATGTCATCTTCAAATTTCTGGAGGAAAAGAGAGAGAATGATAAAGAATGGATTTAAGGACACACAGTCCCCTAAGACTTAATCTGACCTATGGGCTTTCTCCATGGTGGTTTTTCTTCAGTGATTAACAACCCTTAGTAACTCCCTGTTATCGTATTCTTGTGCTCAGAGGCCAACACGGTCAGCAGTATTCACTCTGATAAAAGCTATCTTTTTCCAAAGGAGTGCAGGCCCATACCTTTGCAAACTTGTGTAAAATATATGTTAAATGTACTCCAGACTTAAACGTTTTTCTGTCTCTGTAAATCAAATGGACAGTTGCCCAAATGCAGTAACAACTTGGCCTGACCCTTAGGCCACATCTTATTGCGGCAAACACTGTCTTACCTTCCTACCCCATTCCTGTGCCTGGCCCTTTATATTGCATGTAGTAGATGCTTAATAAATGTTGCCTGAGTTAGATCAACCACTGCACTGGCCTATTATAGTGCTAGGGCAGAGAACTGGGGGTACATTTGATGGTAACTCTTATACCTGTGTCGTTGGTTAGAGTGTACACAGATGCACTTATTTATTCTGCAAACGCTTTTGAGATGGGCACTGTGTGTCATGGCCTGTGCTGGACACTGGAAGGCTGCCAAAAACAGTCTCTGCCTTCAAGAAGCCTACTGTTCCTGAGTGACAGATACGAGAAGAGACAGTTACAGATAATAAAAGGGATAGAGAAGCTAAAGCTGAGTAAGAAGTGTAGAATGATGCTCAGGTTTTTGGTTTGGGCAACTGATCTTGGCTATTAATACGTTTTTTTTTTTTTTTTTTAAAGAAGAGACTAATTTTTCTTTGGTGGTGGTGAAGGTGCAAGATTAATTTAGACGAGGACTCGTGTGTTGATGCTCAGGATGTGGCAAGAGATTTAGTGTGAGAGCAAAAAGGCAGGGAGATGACAGATGGGCAGGTGAACGGGTCATGCTATTGGGGTGCAGGGCCAGTTTTTCTCCAAGCATGGCCCATGCACCCCTGCATCCAAATCACAAATGCAGGTTCTCAGGCACCAGCTACTCCATGCCTCCTGCATGGAACTTTCTGATGTCTGGGTCTCAGCAACTTGCTTTTATTTTAACAAGACTGCCAATGAACATTCATTAATATTTGAGAACTTTGAGAGGCTGGAATCCCCAGTCTAGCCCATGACTGTGGTCTCTGGGTCTCAGTGGTCATCCACACTCGGTGGGTAGTGGGCCAGCTAGTGTTAGGCTAAAGAGCATGATTCCAGTTTCTCACTGCCATTCTCTATACCTGGGGTCTGAATCATCTGAACCCACCTCAGCCTCTGCCTTGGGAAGGAGGACACCGACTTCTTTGGCTCCATCTCTAGTTTTGCTTCTCCCATAATACAACATTCTTGGCCACAGTGAAACAATCTTGCTTGTTGGGTTTTCTCATTTTATTTTATTTATGTATTTATTTTTTTTAAGAGGGAGTTTCACTCTTCCACCCAGGCTGGAGTGAAGTGGCGCGATCTCGGCTCACTGCAACCTCTGCCCACCGCCATGTGTGAATGTGAAGTAAGTTCATACCTCCCTGTGTGAGACGCAGAGGGAGGACTCGTGGCCTCTGCAGCCCCACCAGGGAGCAGATGGGCTTTTCATGGGCAGGACCTCCAACTGGGCAGTTGGAAGTGTTTTTCACAATGCGCACGTGATTCATTTAGATGGTGTATACACAATACTGCAGTAGGTGAAGAAAAAACTAAACCCCTTAGACACATCATTTTTAATGGCTACATAAAATGAAATCATGTGGCTATACCATAATGTCCTTCACATTTCCAACCATTGGACATATTACTTGTTTCCTAAGTGTCCTTTTGCCTTTTTTTCTTTTTCTGTGCAAATAGCTGAACACGTATAGCCAAACTCTGAGCCGAGCATGATTCTAAGTACTTAGAGGTATGAACTTACTTCACATTCACAACAACCCAAAAGGCAGGTGCTGTTATTTACATCTCTGTGCAGTTTGCCCTTTACTTAGACCACATTCTTCCCAGTGAAGTTCCTGGGGCAAGGGTGGAATCGTGTTTAAGTATCTCTGAGTATTGTCAAATCGTGCATTCCTGTGAGTCACATGTAAGAGCAACAGTTTTCTGGAATCTTCAGCAGCATCTGGTGTTCTCATTGAAAACTAAAATTATATGTTTACTTGTTTGATAGACGAAAATGCTATATCCTCTTTCAGTAATTTGCATTTCTTTGATGACCATCATTAAAATGGGCATTGGGAGTTTAACATGCAGGTACGGGTGCAGTGGCTCATGCCTGTAATCCCAGCACTTTGGGAGACCGAGATGGGTGGATCACCTGAGGTCAGTCACCGTGGACGGACATCCATGTGACCACATCTATGACTTCCATGGGCTGCCGTCTCACCTGCACAGGCACCCCAGCTGGGAGCCTAAGATTATAAACCTTTTGTCTTTCATTCAATGAATGCGTCCACCAGTGCCATCTAGGCGCATGAACTGTAAAACATCTTTTCCTATAAGTGCATTGACCAATTTTCCCCAAAACCTCTACAAAGACCCATCTTCTCTTTACAGGGTCTTTTTCATCTCTTGTCATTATCATCATAGATCCTGGCATCCCTGTTGTTTCTGACAGTCTTCAAGGTAAAAGTGAAAAGATTTGGGGGGATTGTGAGTTATTTTAAGGATACCCTGGCAAAACCGTTCAGCCAAGTTAAAAGGGTTGCCAAGAAAGTCAGATTCTCGATGAATCTAGGTCCCCGCTGTTTTCGTTCATGACTGCCCTGGGTTCTGCCTCCTGAATGTGCCCTGGTGGAAACTTCCAGCCACTGACTTTACAACATAGGTAACGTGATCCAGTGCCTGATAACTCTTGGCATATGATGGGGCCCTTACTTTAGGAATGAACAGAAAGCTGAATTTTCTGCTTCCTATTTCCCCGAGCCACGCCTCCTCCCTGCCATCCTGCCCTGTGGAAGCCAGGCCTGCAGCCAGAGGCAACACCCACCGCTTCGTCAAAGCCCATGTAGAGAAACTGCTGGTACCACTGCTGCACCTCGGGCCGGGTCCGGTCCCACAGCTGCCGCTTCTGGCGCTTCAGGCTGCCGAGGAATTCTTTGGCTTTGTTCTCATCAACGGCCACTTTGGTCTTAGTTGGAACAGGTGCTGAAATCATCAATTCCCCATCCCCAAAGCACAATGATTGATTTCCTTCCTCACTGGCGGTGAATCCCTGTTATACATTCCATCCCCACCACCATGCATAGGAAGATTTTAACTCTCAACTTCATTCTTACTTGCATGTCGCAATGTGACACAGCGTCACAGCATCCATCACCATGCTTCCTGTTGGTAAGTTCTATTTGGTACAGCCATATAAAGAGGCATGGACTAAACTTCAACCTCTGTGTCCTCAGGGTAGAAATGAAATTCAGCTCATCATTCAGGAAACAGACTGGATGTCTAGTGCCACACAGGCATACGGGCATGTCCATTGCATTTGCAAACACAAGAGGGTTGTGCTTGGCTCAGGAGATTGTGTAAGAGAAAGGAACTGGAATGACGAGCCCCGGGTGAGCAGGGACCAGACCCTGGCCAACAGTAGAGCTGATTCTCACACCAGGCTGCGGAGACACAGAATTCCCTTGAGCCAGTGCCTCTCTGCGCCTCACAGTCTGACCATTGATGCAGGATACTGACCCGCACCCTCACACTGCTGCTGCTAACGCCTTTCCATCACAGTCTCAATTGCTGAAACGGAACCACTTCTGCAGGATGTGCTCGAGGAAGCCACTGTGCCATTAGGCATTCTGCCCCTGCTGTCACATTCTCAGCCCCTGTCCCCTTATCTAGAAAAGTGGATGGACAGTCCCTCTCAAAGACGTTAGGAAAAATGCACAGGATCATGCAAATGCAGGGTTGATGCGTTTGTTGGTCATATGGATAAATATCAGCAGGGATTTTTGTTTGTTTGCAGTCCCTTCAGGGACTGTTACACTGTTTTGTATACAGTAGGTGCTCAATATGTGTTTCTTGGTTTGAACTGAGACAAGGCTGCGGGAAGCACACCTAGGAGTTGTGACTGCCTCAGCAACTTGCTCACCTATAACAAGCTGGTTCCGTGAGGGCGTTGTTCATCCCTGGGCATCAGTGAGGTGAGGCTCTCACGACCACACAGCACAGGGAGGGGACACTCTGAGCCGCCTCAGAGATTGGGGGTGGGCCAGGGCTTCATGGGTGGCTGGAAACCCAGGGAAAGATGCTGGGACCTCCCCCAAGGAACTCCTTGCCTGCAAGAGTGGCCACCTGTTCTCCAGCCACCTGTGGGAGGGTCCCTGAGCAGCAACTAGCAGGTGTGGGAAGAACGACTGAGGACTCCACTTCAGGAAGGAAGTTCAGCCTGCTAGAATCCCCCGTAAACTAGGAGGGAAAGAATAAGTGACTAAATGGTCACATCAGAAGTGTGATGACACTTTTTCACTTCTAAGGGATTCTTAATTTTACAGATAGAGATGAAAGTTGGGAGAGGGAAAATGACATTCACAAGACCCCACGATTGATTCACCTGATCTGATTACAGCAGGTCCAGAACCTGTGTGTTGTGACCCCCAGACTGTTCAATTTCTATGACATTTTGCCACTGTCACATTTATCTTCGATGCATTTTTCACAACAGAGACTAACAACAAGCAAGGCTTTCCTGTTTGAAACCCTTCCCCACGAGCTCATGGGAGACACGGACTACTGCAACAGTGCCGTTCCACGCCTGCCCTACCAGCTAAGGAGTATGTGCTCCAAAGATAATCCCTGAAGTGCTTCATGGTCCTAAAATAAATAGCATGCAATTAACTGCACCACTGTTTCTTTTAGAGTCCACACTGACAGGTTTCGGAAAAATAACCTTCAGACATTTACTCCAATATTTATCTCATAAAATACCATAGCACATACCCACAGAATAAGCCCTTCATATATGCTAACCTTTTAAGGAATAAACACTTTTGATTTTCCAAATACAAGACTCCAGTGAGCACATTCCATATTGCCACTTCATTTCCATCCAGTTAAGAATGCATCCCTTATCCATTTGGGGTATATTTACCTTCTCGTTTTTGAAGCATCAGCTTGAGTTTATTTCCACTTATGCCACCTAAAGGAATGAAAATTGAAATCCATATCAGAGTGACACTGCTCCCTTCAATTTATCAAAGGCAGAAATCAGAGTGGGAAAAAAGAACTGCGGGTCCCCGGCTTGATTTGGCAACTTGGTAACATCACAGTATTTAATGCGTGTTGTATTCCCTGTCCTGCAGGACAAACAATTCAGGCTGCCCATGGCTAATACTGGTGATAATGACCACAGCAGACCAAGGGCATTACGATTTGTGCTAGTCAGAGTGACGCGGTTCTTTTAGCCCTGTGTCTTACTCTAAGGGGCAGCCATCTGTCATGCTTATCTTCCTGCAAACTTTCGCTTCATGGTGTAATACGTTGAATAGTGTCCTCCTGAAACTCCGATCCACTAGAAACCCCTGAATGTGAGCTTATTTGGAAATGGGGTCTTTTCAGATATAATCCGTTAAGGATCTCAAGATTTTTCATTTAAAACATTTTTTTTCTTTTCTTTTCTTTTTTTTTTTTTTTTCAGCCTGACCCATCACTGAGAGGGTCTCAAGATGTTATTGTATGGGATTTAGAGGGATAGAGATCCAGTGACTGGTGTTTTTATAAGAAGAAGACAGGATCCAGAGAGGTCGCCTGTGTGAAGACAGAGGCAGGCAGAAATGGGAGTCAGGCTCCCACACGCTGGGGAACCTGCCTTCGCTCTCTAAAAGTGCAGCCGGGTTTTGTATCTTGCCCAGATCATCCTAAAATCAGGCATGATTTGTACCACTTGCTGTTATTTGTATTCACTTTTAAAAGTGTTTCTGATCAGCTCAATCATTTTTAATAGAAAATACCTTGTCTGGCCTGATAGAACACACACTTCCACCCAGCGCACTGGCTTGCGGACCTAGAGAAGCCTCTGACCCTTAACTGTTGCATGCAGACATGCTGACATCGTAAGTAGTGAGTAGCGCATCTTCGGGTGTAAGGACCTGGAGTCAGGCCCCAGGATGGAGGTCATCGTGACCACTTGCTCAGCAGGGTTCTTAGCCTCTCCTTCCATGGACAGGCTCCAGGGGGTCTGGAAAGGCATGTAAAATTGTGTTTGCATCTGCAAAGGCAAATTTTCTGGGAATAGGAACCATAGCTTTTGCCAGACTCTCAAAAATGTCTGTGACCCAAATAAAATTAAGAAGCTCTGCTTTGTTTGTGAATCAATAAATAAATTGATCAATAAAGCTGGGGGAAAAAATAAATGTTTTAAAAGAGAACCTCTGCATAAAGAATTTACTATGGAGTTGGGGAGAAAAATATATCCATAGCCAAGAGTTACAAGCTGGCTGCCCTACCTGAGGATGCATTTTATTAGCATACTCAGTGTTTACAAATTTTGAATTCGAATGCCTTTCAGCCCAAGTCACTTAGCACACCCATGGTCCGTAAGCAGCCACCTAACCTACTAACCTCCTGCAGCATTTGAATTAAAGTGCTACCTAGCTGCCTTCAGAGTCATTGGGCCATCCAGGGAGCCTGCTGGCCTGCCCTCTGGGATGGGACAGAGAACCTGCTAGAACTTATTAAGTCTATTTCCTGCTAAGTGCCTCCCTCGTAATTCACGGGTAGGGTGGCCACACTTTCTGGCTGTCCAGGGACAGCCCTGGTATATACCTCTTGTCCTTGTAAATTAATGATAGTGCCTCCTTTTGCTCTCAAAAGTGTTTCAGCTTGGATGATAAATTACATGGCCACCCAATTTTTCGAGGTTTAATGGCATGGAAATGGCTTCATAAGATCTCTAGGGACCACACTGAAGGGCCAGGGAATAGAGGGTGATTTCCCTCGCACCTTCCCTATGAGAGCTGGGAGTCTGCTGGGCGACAAGCTAAGATATCAGCGTAGTGCACAGCAGCCTGTGGGAGAGCTGCAGTGGTTTTTGCTGTCTGTGCTCAGGTCGGTCTACAGTGATGTAGTTGTTTAAAAAGCCATTGCAATCTTAGGCTGTTCAATAAGGGATACTTAAAAAAAGAAAGTAGCTGTCCTGTCTCTGTTCCATCACAGCTCTGAGCAGACCTCCCCTCTACTATTTAGTTCAGTTCACATCATCTCACTTGAAGAAGGTCGTAGAAAAACTGGAGTTGTGGTCAAAGGAGAGTGTCCAGAGAGGACTAGGGCCCAAGCACATGTTATATGAGAAGAAATTAAAGGAATTTAGGTGTTTAACCTAGAGAATAAAACTTGTGGGGCCGAGTGCGGTGGCTTGCACCTGTAACCCCAGCGCTTTGGGAGGCCACGGCAGGCACATCGCCTGAGGTCAGGAGTTCGAGTCCAGCCTGGTCAACTTGGTGAAACCCCGTCTCTACTAAAAATACCAAAAATTAGCCGAGTGTGGTGGTGCATGCCTGTAGTCCCAGCTACTCGGGAGGCTGAGGCAGGAGAATCGCTTGAACCTGGGAGACGGAAGTTGCAATGAAGCAAGCATCACTGCGCTCCATCCTGGGTGACAGTAAGACTCTATCTCAGAGAAAAGAAAGAAAGAAGAAAGAAAGAAAGAAGAAAAAAGAAAGAGAAAGAAAGGAAAGAAAGAAAGAAAGAGAAAGAAAAAGAGAAAGAAAGAAAGGAAAGAAGGAAAGAAAGAAAAAGAAAAGAAAGGAAAGAGAAAAAAAAGAGAAAGAGAAAGAAAGAAGAAAGAGGGAGGGAGGGAGGAAGGAAGGAAGGAAGAATGGAAGGAAGGAAGAAAGGAAGGAAGAAAACTTGTGGGAGTAGAGCAATGGCTTTGAGGGGCCACTGGGCCATAGGTTAGGGCATGAAGTAAGGTTTCTAACACCCTGACAGCCAGCCACCCAAGATGGGACAAATGGCCCTGGGGGGTTTGAGATTAAGAGTTGCTGGAGGCATCTGAACATAAACAAACAAAGACGAGCACTTGACCAGGCTACTGTAGAGGGGATTTTCTAATTAGATGGGGGTGAGACTACTGTTAAATGTTCTACTTCTCTTCCAAGCTTAAATTCAATGAAGAAATCTATGAAAATATTTGCCAAGGGAGACAGATATGATCCTTGGCACTAATGATAGCATTCATTAATATCTTAACATTTGTCAGTCTCTAACAGCTCACAGGGTAGTGCATACAGAATTAAGTATGGCCCCTCCATCTGTTTGCCTTCTGTAAAAGTGCTTAACAATTAATGAATGAAATGTGGTCTGATGTTGAAATAGACATTGGGTTTAGGCATTTGCAATGAGGCTGCAATTTCTTGCAGCAAATGTATGTCACTATTACTCCAGAAACGAGAGCCTCGTCAAACCTTAGCTATAGACTGAAAAGCACAAATAAGTTCCAAATTATGAATTATGAATGTTGCTACTGTGCCAGGTACTACACACCGAACTCCATATTAGTACATATAATTGGACACTACACTAAAGTTGTTTGAGGAAAAGAATAAGGAACAATAGAACAGCTGTGATTTTTTTCTGTATTATGGATTTTTCACCCAATATCATCAGTTGTTCATTCTAGGCTGCAATAATAAGCACTCCTGAATTTATCCAATCCAGTTGCCTAGTATTAGCTCTCCCAGCAAATTCAGAGCTGCAAAATGCTCCTTTGAAGGTGCTTAGTATTAACAAATTGATCAAGAAAGGGCCACTGTCATTTTCTTTATTAAATGTTTGTGAGTGAGGAAGGGCGTGATGGTTCAAGCCTATAATCTTAGCACTTTGGGAAGCTGAGGCGGAAGCATCACTTGAGCCCAGGAGTTCAAGACCAACCTGGGCTACATAGCGAGACTCATCTCTACTAAAAATTAAAAGCAAGAAAAAAAAAACAGGAAAAAAAAAATGGCCAAGCATGGTGTCACACACCTGTAGTCCCAGCTACTTGGGAGGCTGAGGTGGGAAGATGGCTTGAGCACAGGAGATCAAGGCTGCAGTGAGCTATGATCACACCACTGCATTCCTGCCTGGGCAACAAAGTGAGACCCTGTCTCAAAAAAAAAAAAAAAAAAAAAAGTTTGGAGGTGGCATAAAGAGTCACCTTTGGGAATACATAAAGATTTTCATTGTAGGCTGAGCATGGTGGTTCACGTTTGTAATCCCAGCACTTTGGGAGGCCAAGGTTGGCAGATCACCTGAGGTCGGGAGTTCGAGACCAGCCTGACCAACATGGAGAAACCTCGTCTCTACTAAAAATACAAACAAAAAACCAAACAACAACAACAACAAAAATTAGCTGGGCATGGTGGCGCATGCCTGTAATTCCAGCTACTCGGGAGGCTGAGGTAGGAGAATCGCTTGAACCCAGGAGGCAGAGGTTGTGGCAAGCCGAGATCATGCCATTGCACTCCAGCCTGGGCAACAAGAGCAAAACTCTATCTCAAAAAAAAAAAAAAAAAAATTCATTATATAAGAACTTTCACATCCCATCCCAGCTTGGTAATATTTTAACTGACTTCTATCACTGAGTTACATATAAACTAAATAAAATACAAGTCGTGAAAATAAATGGCTTGTAGCCAATGCTCACTCGACTTATTCCGATGTGCTTTTTTCTTCTTCTTTTATTTGTTTATTTTTTTATTTTGCGACGGAGTTTCGCTCTTGTTACCCAGGCTGGAGTGCAATGGCGCAATCCTCAGGTCACCGCAATCTCCACCTCCCGGGTTCAAGCGATTCTCCTGCCTCAGCCTCCCGAGTAGCTGGGATTACAGGTATGTGCCACCACGTCCGGCTAATTTTGTATTTTTGGTAGAGATGGGGTTTCCCCATGTTGTTCAGGCTGGTTTCGAACTCCCGACCTCAGGTGATCTGCGCCCCTCAGCCTCCCAAAGTGCTGGGATTACAGGTATGAGCCACCAAGGCCAGCCCAGATGTGCTTCTCAAAATGGCAAGAACAAAGAGCGGGAGGCAGGTAAACCATACAATTGGAAATGACTGACTAGCTTCGCCTGTGATTCTAATGTGGAACAGTAATTCCCCCCACCTGGACAAACCCCACTACCTCTCCTGCTGTTCTTGCAACCCTGGGACTCCTACTGAATGTCCCCCGCCTCTTCTAACCTGGAGTTTAGCTTTCATACCTGTTTTGAAAGAGCAAAATACAGAAACTGAGCAATCGAGTGAGCCTACCTTTTACATTAGGCAGTGCCCAGCTGCTTTGCAGTGGGACAGAGCCAGTCTCAGGCTCTTGGGCAAGTCAGTTCACACACCAGTAACTCCGAGGTCACAATGCCTGCTTCCCCAAGATGTAAGCTTCAAAGGCAGTCATGTGTACCTGAGGCCACTTGTGAACCACCAAGGCTCCTCCTACCCACTGAAGGTGGTAGTTCAGGACAAACTACAGTTTCAGATTATGGTTCCTAAAGTGGGGCCTGTGGAGCCCAGCGGTCAGATGTCGGAGCACCCATCATTTGGGTGTGCCTGTGAATGCACGTTTTACAGAGAGCGAGCGGGGAATTTTCAGAGTTTTCAACCGATTCGCTGGGAGCTCCGCGAAGCAGAAAAAAAGTAAGCATTACTCCTTTAAGAGCCTTTCCCCTCTCTGGGGTGTGAGGCCTGCGCCCAGCTTTGCAAATTGCAACTTGACCCAGCGGAGAAGCGTAAGTCAACTCTGTTGCCAAGCGACTGCCTGGAAGGGAATCGCGGTGATGGTGCTATTTGCCTCCTCTGGGTTACCAGCTGCGTAAAACCCCCACAACCCCTTTGCCCCTTACGTTAAGCCTCGAAACATAACTTGCCCACCCTTCGGATGCCTGGCCCTCCTTTCCCAAGGTTGCCCGGGAGATCTGAGACCCTCCCCTTGACCCAGGTGCTCCCTCCACCCGCACAAGCGCACAACTTCGCACTCGTGCGAGTGCGAAACCCTGGACCCGGTCCCCTACCAACCCCTTGGCCCTGCCTAGGCTAAGGATGGGTCCCTATGCCGCCACCCCATCACCGATCGCTCTCCTCGGGCACCCTAGAAGCCCCACGCGGGGCTAACCCCTGGTGCCGCTATGAATCAGCCTGGCATTGCCCCGCTCACCTGGGCCCCAGCACAGGAGCAGGAGCAGCGCCAGCCCGGTCAGGACCAGGACAGCGGGCCGCGCGGGGGAGGCGGCCATGGCAGCGGGACGCGAGCAGGAGGGCGAGGGGCGCACTTTGAGCCGCTGCGCCGGAGGACTGGGAGCGCGAGAGGGGTGCGAGCTCGCAGGCGCGGCCGCGGGTTATCCCTGCTTCGCTGCTGGGGCGGGACCTAGCGGGTGGGCGCCGCGCCAAACGGCTGAGGGCCAAGCGGCTGCGCCCAGCGCTCTCCCGCTCCTGCCCCAAATGGAACGCAGCGCCTGGGCTCCAAGGCCAGGGATGCTCGGCCACTGAGAACCGCCAGCGGCTGGGCGCCGCGTGGCCAGCGCTGCCCGCAGAGAAAGCGGTGAGGACAAGCTGGGTTCCGGAGACCCAGGGAAGGGGAGAAGGCATCGGGAGAAGGGACGAGGCCCCCTGGCCACCCAGAGGGAGGACTTGCTGGATCCCAGCGCTGGGGTCTATCCTTGGCTCCCCCACTTTCTCCCTCCGCCCCAGCTGCACCACTGTTCCCCTTACTCCTCGCCCCTTCCTTCCCCATCTCCCTCCCCACCCTGCTTGGGGGCCTTGCTTCTGCCTGGTATGTAAAGTGAGCTTTGGAATTTCCTTAGTTCAGAGCTGCTCTTAAGGATGCCTTAGGCGGGGCTGTTTTTTGCGATATTTTGAAAGACTCCACAGTCTGGGTTCAGAGCGGCAGTCCAGGAAATCGTCTCACCCAAACTTTTCCAATAGAAAAGCCTTTGAGAAACCAGGAACCTGGTGCCCTGCAGCTGTGAACAAAACCACTGCTTCCCGTTGCCTGCTCTGTAATCCGGGCACACTTCAGCAATGTTAAGGTGAGGCCCAAGGGAAAGAAGGCATTACTGCATCCCAGTAACGGGCCAGTTCAAATGTAGAAGACACGTAAAAGGCGGGGTAGTGAACAAAAACTAGAACAACTTTATCCCAACGGACTCTGAACGGGTCACCTAATTATTCTTTCCAGGCCTGGGCTACAAAAGGATGGTGATGTGAGATTACCTCTCCTGTCTTCCCAGATCTGCCTTGAACTGAGCTAATTACCTCTTTCCTTCACCAACGTTCTCACTTCTCTCCAACCCCCACCCCAGATGGAGTTTCACTCTTGTTGCCCAGGCTGGAGTGCAGTGACCTGATCTCACTCAGTACAACCTCCACCTCCTGGGTTCAAGCGATTCTCCTGCCTCAGCCTCCTGAGTAGCTGGGATTACAGGCATGCACGAGGAGACCCAGCTACTTTTGTATTTTTAGTAGAAAAGGGATTTCACCATGTTGGCCAGGCTGGTCTTGAACTCCTGACCTCAGGTGATTCACCCGCCTCGGCCTCCCAAAGTGTTGGGATTACAGGTATGAGCCACTGCACCCAGTCGGCTTTTCAAGTGCTTACTATCTCTCCACATAATTAGCTCTCCATGCAATGCAGTTGAATTTCTCCAGCAGGAAGGAGAAAGAAGTCTTCTAACACTGAGCTAGTAAAGGCAGATGGTGGCCGACCACAGAAAAAAGTGCTAAGTGGGTCTGAGAGTTAAATAGTGATACAGCCCAGGGTGTCAGAGAGAATCAGAAGGATAATGTTACACATCAAGTTATCTTGGAGAAGTGCTTCTAAACCCTTGAGGAAACTGTAGAATAGGGGATAGGAGTTTTAAAAGTAACTAGGCATGTATTTACTTTTGCCTGAGGACAAGAAATTTATCATTACAAAGAAAAATCAAAGCACATGAAAAGCCAATGTTCTGTTTGGGTTGGTTTAGAACATACCTTAAACATAATGGCTATAATCTTATTTATCTTGTGGAGATCATCCCCCCCTTATCCCAAATTGCTACCAATATCTGCTTCTAGTATTGACATTCAAATTCTCTTCCCTTAAGGGGGGTCATGGTGGTTCACGCCTGTAATTCCAGAACTTTGGGAGGCTGAGGAGGGCAGATCACTTGAGGTCAGGAGTTCGAGACCAGCCTGGCCAACGTGGTGAAACCCCCTCTCTACAAAAATACAAAAATTAGCGAGGCATGGTGGCGCATGCCTGTAGTCCCAGCTACTTGGGAGGCTGAGGCAGGATAATCACTTGAACCCAGGAGGCGGAGGTTGCAGTGAGCCGAGATCATGCCACTGCACTCTAGCCTGGGTGACAAAAAGAGACACCATCTCAAAAAATATATATATATATATCTTCACTTAATCAGGATATGATCAGAGAGGGTTCTGTAGCATGGAGCCTCTCACTCTGCCTTCAGAGGGGCCGCTGAACTCATGTGTTCAGCCTAGAGACACTATGTCAGTTCTTACACTGATATCTAAGTTCCTTTTCATCTATTTGTTCAATGATATTTACTTATTATCTTAGTCCATTTGGGCCGATAAACAAAATACCATAAACTGGGTAGCTTATAAACAACAGAAATGGATTTCACACAGTTCTGGAGGCTGGAAATCCAAGACTTAGGCCCCAGCAGATTTGGTGTCTGGTCAGGTCCTGCTTTCTGCTTCCTAGATGGCACCTTCTTGCTGTGTCTTCATATTGTAGAAGGGGTGAGGGCACTCTCTGAGGCTCTTTTATGAGGTCACTAATCCCACTCATGAGGGATCCATCCTCTTTACCTGATCATCTCCCAAAGGCCCCACCTCCCAACACCTCACTTTAGGAATTAGGATTTAATGTATGACTTTAGGGGAGACACAAAAATTCGGTTTGTAGCACTTACAAAATGCTAACTACATTTGAGACACTATCAAAGGTCCTTTTCTTACCAGTCACTTAAATTTGTCACCCTTTCATGTACAAGACCCTCCTTTCTCCCTCTGCTAAGTCTGGTCTGATTTTTCATTCCAGTGTTTCTCAAACTTAGTCTGAAAATCCCAAGGGGCTTGTTAGTGCGGATTGCTGGATCACATCCCTGGAATTTTGTAGGTCTTGGGTGGGGCCCAGATGTCTCCATTTTGTTTTTATTGGCTCCTAGAGGATGCTGATATCAGTGGTCCTCAGACTGCACTTTGAATAACTCAGCTCATTCAGTTCTCCACCGAAACTCACCAGCTTCCCGAAGTCTCTCTCTGTCCTCACTCAGTTTAATAATACACATTTTCTCTCCCTTGATACACCATATACCAAATGAACCCCAGGGCCTTCGTTTCTGCCATGTGGCAGTAGCTAAGGACACGGGCTTTGGGTTCTAATTCTTTCTGCATTATGCACAAACTGTGTAATTAGATCACCTGTCCTCTCTAGGCCAGAGGTAATATGGGGGCAATATTATCTGTTACACTTGGGTAAGGGATCACAGGCACAGAGCCTGGTGCACAGTAAACACTCAGCAAATGTTAGAAATTATTTTCAGTACCAAACTCCCTCTGGCCTGAGCTCCCCACCCAGTGCTCTTATACCTCTCTGCTCCTCCCTTCCCTTGGCCAGGAGCTCTCATTGTGGACGATCCCAATCCATTCCATATATCGTTGTCACACATTGTCAGACTGGCCTTCTCAAACACAGTCCAGACACAGCATCCCCCTTCCTCCACGTGCCTCAGGGGCCTCAGTGGTCCTCCCTCTGTGGCTTCCAGTTCACAGATACCTGGCCATAGCGGATAGAGGACTGTAGGAAGTGCCACCACCCTGTGAGTGTGCCATGAGCTGAATGCACACTGGGGAAAGTGGGGAACATCTAAGACGGAGCTGCCTTTGATTATGAGGCCTCAGAGGGACCAACCAAAGCAGGGTCGTGTCCAGCTTGACTCTGCTTCCGAGGAGCCAGCAGTAAGAGAGATTCGACGGCCTAGTGGGCTTCATTTTAACATTGCTAAATGTTTTAAGTGTGAAAACGGTATTGTATTTACAATTTTAAAGCCCTGTCTGTTAGAACTATATACTGAAGTATTTATGGGTAAAATGATACAAGGGATGGGATTTCACTTAAAATAGTTCAGGAGGAAGATTGGCAAACAGAGATCATTCTTTTGCCAGGAAACCACTTACACAGTCCTTGACTCCCAATTATTATATGTTCGGGAGCTATGGTCTGAATTTTCTGTCCTCCCAAAATTTATCTGTTGAAACCTGTGCCCCCAAGGTAATGTATTAGAGGTGGGGTCTTTAGGAGGTGATAAGGTCGTAAGGGCAGAGCCTTCATGAATGGGATTAGTACCCTTTAAAAAGGGTCCCCTAGTGAGCTCCCTCATTCCTTCCAACATGTGAGAACATAGTGAGAAGGCGCCATCTATGAACCAGGAAGTGAGCCCACACCAGACACCAAATCTACTGGTGCCTCCATCTTGGACTTCCAGTCTCCACAATTGTGGGAAATCCATTTCTGTTGTTTATAAGGCACCTGGTCATGGTATTTTGTTATAGGAGCCCAAACAGACTGAGACAACAGGGGATTATTATGCTGTTCTCTGTTTGTACATCTTTATACATTTTTTATAATAAAAACTTAAAATATAGACTGTTAGTGGCACTTCATTAACTATACATATGTAAGAATACATAACATATACAGAGACCTTCAGACTCTCTATTTAGCCCTTAAACATGTACAACAGTGATTTTTTTTTCTTATGCTTCCTATAGTTTTCCTAATCTCCCCAAAACTCAAAATACGTGTATCTATTATCTACATCTTCACAGGTTCATAGCTTTACCTACAACATTCCCAGTCTCTGGGATGCCTTTGGGCCCTTATCTCTGTTACTCAAAACCCTACTGTTCCAGTTACCAATCACTGCTTCGAAATTGACCCCAGATTTAGAGGCTTAGAGAACAATCACCATTTTATTATGCTCACAATCCTGGAGATTAGGAATTTAAGAAGGGCTCAAGTCAGCGGTTCTTCTGCTCCATGTGGTACTGATGGAGATCATCAGTGATACTAAGCTGGCAGATGGGCTGGACTTGAGAGTCCCAGATAGCTCCGCTCACCTGTGTGGCACCTTGGGCAGGATGACTGGAAGGCTTGACTCAGCTGAGATTGTCAACTAAAGTGCCTATATGTGGCCTCTCCAGCATGATGGCTTAGGATGCCAGAGAGAGTATTCCAAGATCAGATATTCCAAAAGACAGGAAGAGGAAGCTGCCAGTATCTTTAGGTCTTGGCCTGGTGATTGACACAAATCAATGCCATTGTGTTCTATTGGTCA